AAGAAGGTACGAGAGTGATAAGACATAGTGGAAATCAGAGACGAGAATCAATTAGAGACTGTGAGAGGACAGTTTTGTATTCAAAGCGTACTTGCCTTGCATTTTGAACGCAAATTTCCATTCGAAGTCATTGTGCATTCTTTCTACAGTTTTATGTCAGTTTCCCATTATGTCTCATCAATCTCGTTCCTATTTTGAGCACTGCACGGCAGTTTCACAATGCCACTATACTTTTCTTAATCACTGCAGCCATATCAGTGAATTGCTCTCGTTCATAATACTCCCGAGAAGCTTAACTCCATTCCTTCCTTCCTTCAGCTCACGTTTCAATTTCGAACAAAAATGAATCGAACAAGACGATTTGCCACAGCAATGGTCAGTTGTTGAAATGCGATTACTGGAAATCGTATGTGAAAATGAGATATGATATAACCAATCGTCTTACTGAAACATTCAAAGTTCCATCTCAAACTCTACGACTCTTCCATGTCCAACCTTTCCCTTGCTGAAAGAAGAAAAAAATTTGGAAATTTAACACAAAGTGATGATAGGTTATAGATTTTCAAAAAGTACTCGACAAATGAAAGAATTCGATAAGACGCATGCGAGGATGTCTTATTCGGCGTGGATTTTAAAATAATACAGAAAGCTAATTCGGCTCAGCTGTTAAAGATTTTGTGCGTTGTATCCGATGTCAGTTAATAGAGATTTGAGCATGTCATGATTGAGTGATTCGTACGCAATGCATTTATCCTCTTGTGATGATGGAGATTATCTCTCAGACAACATATTAAGAATCGAAGACATCGCGAAGATATGATTTATAAAAACTGACTGTATGATCTGTTGATTAAAGAAGTTTTTGTTGCTGATCGTCCTAGATGCACTAGATTAAAGCGAATTAAAGGTTTCCAAATTAATTGAAAGGCATTAACACGTCGTAATGATTGAGGCAGTGATTAATATGATAATAGAAAGGAAAACATGAGACATTCATCATAAAATATTCATTATGAAATGTTATCGAAATAGAACAGACGTTCAGCGATGTCAATATATTAATCGTAAGTATTCAACAGAGGCAGATATTGACGGTGGTGCTCAGTTTTTATGATATCATTCTCTAATGAGGTTTCATGATTAGTTACCATCTTATGGATATTGCAATTATCAACACATTCTTAGCAGCACTCTGAATATTCTGAACTTGACATAAGGCTTGCCACTGTTGCCGCTGTTCATGATCTTATACACTTTATTGTTTTAGCTGAGCAACAGAACGGTCATTGTGACATTTTCCATTTCACGATAAAGGTATCTCGTCGTCTACTCTTCATCTGTTCGAATCATACTCACTGCGCTCCAAACGAATGCAAGTCTCGCAATATTTCTTGAATCCTGACTAGAAATGCGTACACAGTCATGCAGTGTGCTCATGAAAGAGCTGTTTTGTCGCATTCAGGGCAATGCGCTCGATTCTCGACCTCTCTCTGGCATGCTAATCTTATCATATTTTAGAAATTTCTACATTGTTCCGCAAGAAGAATTTCATGCAAATTATAATTCATTCATGATTAATATTTCACTAAATTTTTTAAAACCATTTTGTCATGAGAGCAAGCAATATCACGTATCAATTCAAATGAATTGATACGAATGAATTCGAATTCCAATGAAGCCACCTCAAATGCGAAGCAAGTCTTGATCTCGTATTTCGCATGCTTAAATGATATATATTGCTCGAAGGTGCACTTAACCCGAAACGATGGTAATTGCTAACAGTATTGCATTTAAATTGGTAGAACAACGGAAAACGATGAACGCACTTGTCCAACACGATTTTAACTAGCAATTTGCTTGCCTCTCACTCTTCTGGTTGTTTTGTCGAATGCGTTATCAAAGCGACTCATTCTTGGAATGGGTTAAAACCTTCTGGCGATGTAATGGTTCACTTTCGGATCTAAAAGCCTCAACAAGAGTGAGAAACCCGAAATGTTTACTGATTAAAACTGAAATTTAGAGGCGAGAAATCACCCGAGCAAACTTTCACGCTGTTATTCGAAAGAGAATCATCCATGCATGTTTCGAGTTTATCCACTCTCCNATCTGGAAACATAGTAGTGGTAGGGTACACTGTTAAAATGTCTGTTTTATTTTTGTTTTTGGGTCGGTCGTTTTTTTGCGAAGTTTCGGTCTGATTTCAAAGAATTACGAGTGACTGTATATTGGATAAAACATCGTCATTGAGACGAATTTGAGACGAAAGGAGCGATTTTGTATGTTAATGAGTGTCAGAAGAGATGTTCGATTGTTGCACTGTTCTATTCAATATATCACAATAATCGCCTTTCAACAAATTTTAAGGCTGAACACAATGAAAGTCAATTTAAAGTTTCTGTTCGTTTTTGTTCTCATTTTCGTTTGCGAGAGTGCATCTGCTGCTGAATGGATGAACATTGAGGTGAGTTTGTTTGATCAATGCTAAAATTAATTATAATAAAGGTAATGACAACACAATGAGGATGATGCTAAATAATACTAACGCAAAGTAATAAGTTGAATTTGATTGTAAACGTGAGTGTAGTGTTCAGAAATGCTTTATCATTGTGCTGTGAATATTATAGCACACCTGCATGCCGTTATTATTGTGAGCAGCAGTAAATTTGTCATTAAGAACATTACTTTCAATGCATTATAGTTTTATTACAAAAAAGTGTATGTTTTGTGCAGTTACATTATTCTGATTGTAAGATATCTGTCATGAATTTTAAGATGCTAATAAATCAGTTGAATGTGAATTTATGAGTGGACCGGTGAGTAGATCCATTAGTGGTTAGCTCAACAATATACAGGTTCTGGGGCNGATAGACGCCATTGCTGTATTGTGAAGTGAGAGGATGATGCACCTCATCAAAGGCTGACAAATGA